TCCTCAAGCCGGTCCAAGAACTCAAGGATCAGAGTGCTCAGAACATCTCCCCCCTTTTTTTCTTGTTCAGTATCTGCTCCCTGAAAACAGAAACTAAAAAAACTCAGAAAACTAAAAAAAACTCAAAAAACTCAAAAGACAAACCGATAAACCCCCACGAAACAACAACCAAATTCATCATCCCTCTATTACACAGGTCTTCTCACCATCGACCGCGTGCTTTTACTACCCACACATTCTATCCCTCGAAACGCCCCATGTTGGGGCTTTCTTCTTCGCGTATCTCGTTAGGCACCTATTTAACATCTCTGCGGGGTATCCCTGCATCCTCAATTGCCTTTTCATCGATAGCAGGGTTAACCCAGCGAGCTCATCGGTTGAAGACATCCTCTGAATCTGGTGTAGAGTGCTCGTAATGACTGCTTTCTTTTGCCTGATCATTGAGAAGGATTCAAAATCCTGAAAAGTGCGATGAGCCAATTTTCCTTCCCCCAGATTTGCTCGTAGTTCTTAGGATAGCACTGGCAGGATACCGTTATTGGTGATTTCCACTTTCGTGCCCAAGAAATCCCACACACCTTTCCCCTCGTCAGTCCTCTTCAGTGTTACCTGCTTGTCATAAGCTTGATCAAACTTTCGCATTACTTCCTCTCGTCGGGCATCCCCGTTCTTCGTTGGGCACCAGACGAAGATAGATACGTCATCGATCAGCCTCATCCCCCTCACTAGAATCCTGTCTGCGCCTACGCTGGCTAGGAAATGGTACTCGTTCATCGCACATAGGATGCATGCCAATGGAGGGCTACTGCTTTTCCCCATTGGTATGCCCACCTGCTGTCGAACCAGATGGTCCGAGGCAAATAGGTACGTGATCCTGATATTTAAAAAGCTCATCTCGACCCACCACTCATCTCCTGTCTTACTCGCAAACGTAGTCCCTTTTCCCCGTCTCCTGACCTTCACGCTGTGCCGCCCCTTACCTTCATACCAGTCTAATATCCATTCAACTGCAGTCCGAACTGACTTGTGGGGTAGCTGACTAAACATTTCCTTGATATCGTATGCTACCCCCACCAGCTCACCTTTCCGTCTCGATCGTACCCACGTATTCACTTCTCTCAGTCTGTCCTTGAGCAGCCCGGTGGATTTCAGATTGAAATTCACCCCCTTTGGGAGCAAAAAGAGCAGATGGTATAATGCTCTTGCGCCCCTTCCTCCAACGACCTTTGTTGGTTCCGAAAAAGACGGGCTTATCTGTCTAAAGCGGCCGATGTCTTTCTCCTTTGGTATAATATACGCGCATCCAAGCTTTCCACCCCGGTCCCACTTTCCCAGAACCTCTAGTCCTTGTTCCTTATAGACCTCACATTTTGCAAGCACTTCTGTCTCGGTCTCCCATACAGCAGAGAAACTCTCACTTCCCCAAAACGTACATTGCATCCCCGCAGCATACACTTGCGGGCACATGATGCCGCCGCACATCACTACTGTCTCGGCAGAGTTTCGATCTACCGCTGTTAGAACCATATCCGAACATAACTTCTAAACCTCAAGGACTTCCCCCTCCAGCCCGCTGTCCTTAATCTTGCGTCCGTTCCGGCACTTGGAAACCTCAACCGGATCCACAGACGATTTCAAGCCCATACGGACTAAACAGTCATTAATCTCACGCACGGTTTTACTACCTATCATTGGTCCCTCTGGTGGGACGATATTACGAGCATTTTTCACAAAACCGTGAACACCCATCAGATCACTTACTCTGCATGTCACGTGACCCTCCACTTTTGGGAGGGCATTGTCTGCGCATGCGCAAACTCCCACCATCTGCTTAGCAGCAGATCGATGGTTGTGAAGGACATCCCCAACGGTGGGATTTTTCTTGCACACCATCAGCAGCCTTCGACACGTAAAAGAGGCAAGTGACTCGTGTAGCTCAGCCCGTATCTTGCTTTCTACTAACTCCCGTACTGCTCGCATAGAGATGCCTAGATCATAAGTAACAGAGACAGTCACCTTCCTCCTCACCTTAAACCGGAATTTCCGCCAGATTACACCCACTAATATATCTTTCAAAGTTGAGCGCGAAGCTGCTCGTGAAAAACACCCTATTGCGGACACTAATCTCATCAGATACTCTATTCCATGCACATAAAGCTTCTTCTTGCTCCATTTATTCCGGATTAGCTGGTGCAGCTCACGTTTCAACTTGGCCTTACCTTTCCACAGAGTCCGCTCCCGCAGATCGACCACTTCAAACACACCACCTTCCTCAAAATTGGTCCTTAACTCTGCAATTGGTCTCTTTTTCGACCTTGCGCAAATTACCGTGGCTCCTATCTCTTTTGTGATAACATCCCATGCTTGCCCCCATAGTTTACCTCCTTCCCATTTAAACACCCTTCCCCCATTCACAACTCTTTTGCATACCTCGATCAGTTTAACCGTTCTCAGTTCATCCAACTCGAAAACAATAGGTAGATCCTTGGCGAAAACATGGTTCCTCCCTCTCTTCCTTTCCTTCCTTCCCTTCCTGTTCTTCTTACCCTTGCTATTCTTCTTACCCTTGCTATTCTTCTTTCCCTTGGTGTTAAGAGCAGGGGACCATTTCCTAATGTAGACCTTCTCAACCTGCTCCAGATCCTGCACTGGGGCGAAAGCAATAGGAATAGCAATGTAATCCAACGCATCAGACTGCCGAAATCGGTTGTAGAGCTTCGCATTACGATTGCTATCTCTATGATTAGCCCTGTACAGATGCTTTTCCCATCTCGTGAACAAGCTTCGTTTCGTCTGTCCTATATACACTCCCCTTTGTCCCGGATTTAGTAAAACATATATGCACTCCTTAGGGTCTTCCCATGCCGTGGGGTTCGTGGTAGCTAAATCAAACCAGTTCCCTCCGAACTTTGCCCCTCATTACAGGTCACCATTCAAAACCAACAAAAGAACCAGATGGCGCAAGATGCTTTCGAGGATGACACGAAGCCGCCGACTTCCGACTTCTTGCTGTTCATGAAGAAATACCGGTTCAGCTCATCCCATAGTTTAGCATCTTACGGGTTATCGATCCCTGGGGTATCTTCCCTCTCTGCAGGATTGCCTCTTGCGTCCTCTGCAGGCTCAGCTTGTGGCATCGCTTCCCGGATGACGACGCCTACAGATCGAGGTCTCGGAGCAGGCGCGGCTGCCGCTGGTATGCTGAAATACATCACCCGGAATTCAATCAACCCATCTACCGCTTCCGGTCGTCCGCGATACACGATCCCTCCCTCTCGACACATCTCCTGAATCGTGGGTTTAAGCTTCTTACCCTGGAACTTCCAGATCGCCTTCCTGAACCCAGTTATTGTGTTGTACTCCTCAACGCTAGGAGCTCCCTCCCATAGAGTAGACTCTTGGTAGGGGAAACCCAGTTGCACGCCGTCAGCTCTAGTTCTGCGTTGTGGTACGCCCAGTCGTGGGGACCTTTCGTCAGCCGTCGCTCTTGGGGCCGACGTGGATGCACGGCCCACCTTCAACGGTGATTCCCCAGGCGAAGCAACTTGGCACGTTAGTACTGACTGGCGTTTCCTCTTCTCCAACCGATCTTTGGTGAGATCCTCCTCATCCGAGCTTGTGTCGGCTTTAGCTTTCCCCTTCAAAGCCTTATTCGATACCTGCATTTTTTAACATTTTCTCAAAGATCCGCTCAAACTCCTCTCGCAAAGACTCTTTCTGCTTTGCTAACAGTAGCTCTATCTTCCATTCCCTTTCAGCCTCCTTCTTCTCTTTTGCTTTCTTCTTCTCAAGCTCTACACGATTCTTCTCCTCTGTGACCGATTTCTCTTGCTCCTCTCTCTTCCTTCTCTCCTCCACTTCACGCTTCTCCGCTTCCCTTCTTTCCTCTCTCTCGATCTGACGATTCGTGTACAGACACACCATTCTGAGCGACTCTTCCAGATCTTTACTCATGGCTGGTACTGCTTCTTGCGCCGGTTCATTTGTACCGCTGGAGCTGCTTGCCCCGTCGTTGCGATTACCTCCGACGTTGAACCGTCCTTGCCTTGGCGCGTTACAGTGTTACACTCCCGGCTAATATGCCCAAGTTGATTGCAGTTATAGCACCTCGCGGACCTTTTCCAATCCCCACCTCCGTTGCTGTTCCCGTTACCGTTCCATTGATTTCCTCCTCCACTCGAGTCGCCATTATTCCATCCTCCTCTATTCCCCCCATTCCAGTTTTCGTTCCCACCGCCGTTTCTGTTATTGTAGTTGCCACCTCCCCCGCCCCAGTTGCCTCCCGCGCCGCCGAAGTTGCTGTAGTATCCTCCGTTGTTGCCGCTTCCCCCACCATTCCATCTGCCACCTCCTCCTCCTCCGCTCCAATTATTCCCACCGCCGTTTCCGTTGTTACCCCCATTGTTTCCCCCGCTTGGGTTCCCGCCACCGCTCCAATTACTGCTCTGTCCGCGTCCACCACCGTTCCAGTTCCCGGCCCCGCCGTTTCCTCCATCTCCCCCCCAGTTACCTCCTCCTCCATTCGGATTGCTACTCATCCTCCTTCCTCGACAAACTCGTAGTYGTCCTCCTCGTAACACTTGCTTCTYACTTCGTCACCAAACACGTACAGGATCCTAAGCTGCAGGGCCACCACGCGCAAGTGGAGTCCTCCTGGCAGGTTGCCTGTGCGGTTTCAAAGTACAGTGAAAACGGGAGACATCAGTGCTGACTCGATGCACAACACAACCGTGGCAAAAAACACGGCGCACAATATGTGCTACCAATCTCGAATAACACCTGTCTCTTATACACATCTAGATGTGTATAAGAGACAGTCCACGGACATTCCCTTCTTTTTCCTCCTAAAACGATTTGCCCTGCGTCATGCTTCACAGCTTCACGTGAAAACCTTCCCGCCGGGGTGCTTACCTGACCGGTATCCCTTCCTCTGTCAGGGCATGCGAGATTTTTGTCCTTTCTCTTGTGGCAATATCCTGCCCGATACGCTCACTCACACACCTGTCTCTTATACACATCTAGATGTGTATAAGAGACAGGTCTGTGTGTTGTACTCCTCAACGCTAGGAGCTCCCTCCCATAGAGTAGACTCTTGGTAGGGGAAACCCAGTTGCACGCCGTCAGCTCTAGTTCTGCGTTGTGGTACGCCCAGTCGTGGGGACCTTTCGTCAGCCGTCGCTCTTGGGGCCGACGTGGATGCACGGCCCACCTTCAACGGTGATTCCCCAGGCGAAGCAACTTGGCACGTTAGTACTGACTGGCGTTTCCTCTTCTCCAACCGATCTTTGGTGAGATCCTCCTCATCCGAGCTTGTGTATAATCACATAATAATAATAACTACAATATGAATAGCTACCACAGCATATCCAGCCTAGATCCTCCATCCTCAAGCCGGTCCAAGAACTCAAGGATCAGAGTGCTCAGAACATCTCCCCCCTTTTTTTCTTGTTCAGTATCTGCTCCCTGAAAACAGAAACTCAAAAAACTCAGAAAACTCAAAAAACCTCAAAAAACTCAAAAGACAAACCCATAAACCCCCACGAAACAACAACCAAATTCATCATCCCTCTATTACACGGGCCTTCTCACCATCCACCGCGTGCTTTTACCACCCACACAGCCTCCTGATGAGTCGGGGACAAACCAATCTTGTTATCATCATTAAAAAAAATAAAAAAATAAATGATCTTTTGGTTTCTGTTTTTTTTTTAATGATTTTTTTTTACGATTTTTTTTTTTTCTTTTTTTTTTTTGTGGTCCGATGGACCAGGGATCAGATATCAAACTGATCAGAACAGATACTACACTTGATCTTAGCCAAAAGGCCGAGGAAGGTATGTTACAGTGTGTCGTTCGTTTTATTTAGTAGTTTGTGCTCTTTCTTTTTTTTT